CATTTTTCCAATATACATTTTTTCCTCACATCTTTTAAATCACACATTATTCAATAAAATAATATTACCACATAAATAAAAAAATTCCTTAATTTTCAACCACACATTCTCCATCAATCTACTATTCCAAAATGCATTTTATATAAAAAAAGAAAGATGGGGCTCAAACATGCTCTAAATTAGTTGTCAAGTAATTATCTCTCGTCGAAATTATAAACCCCGTTTTGAAGTTGAATAATCTTCTTGTTAAATTGGATATCTAATGCTTCGAGTTTTACGAGTCCGAAAAGTTATTTGGTTAATAGCATTTGTGCATTTCTTTTTGTCCTCGAAATATGACAGGATCATGTTGTCGACAGATTCCACTTCTTTTTTGTCACTGTATACGCTATCTACACATTTGACTACTACATGATCTTAACTCCAATGGGTGCTATGTCGCGACATTCGAATGCTCAAGTGAGATAGTGAAAGATAATTTGGTGTGGAAGAGACATATTGGGCGAAAAGTATGGGTGCTAGGTTGTAGAGATAATTTTACCATGACTGAGAAAGTAAGCTTGTATCAAAATTTGCACGATCTTTAAAGTCACTATGTGGATTTATATTAATAGAGGTGAATTAAGATCCATAAGATGCTTGACACATGACATTGTCCTAAGGGCTCACTTGTCTAACTCAATTGTGTCAATCCTTAGATTTCATAGGCATATGGCCGTCTGATCATATGTTGAAAAGCAACCACCTTAGGACATCCAAAGGTATGACTTCATTGCGTCAATGGGCACTAAAAAGACCCACAACACACGATATTAAACAAGATTCCACCAAACATTAACATATCAAAGTATAAACTTGCAAGAAATTAAATATTGAACACAAATAATTATTTCGGCCTAAGCCCCGGAGGTTCGCGACTGGATCTAACGCCTACATCCTCCGTTGAGCATTCAAATAATAGATATATGCTCGGTTGTACTAATGGCCAAAATATGGCAGCCAAAGATTACAATCAATTCAATAATACAAGATGAAGCCACATAGACTTATCTTTACAGAAGACTTTGGATCGATAGCTAATAATCACGACAGATCACTCAATTCTGTCTCCAACTTCACATATCACACGAATCACACAGATTCATTACACAAATCACTCAGAAATGTATTACTTTATCATAAACAGAAGTATATATAAGAGATTCTAACATTTACACACTCTAATCACTCAAGAATGTGAAACCCTAATGAAGAATGAGATTTTCTCTCTAGAAGGCAGAAGAACATATGAAAACCCCAAAAACCAAAGCCAATCGAACAAAGCGTCACTTGGAAGATATAAATCAGAAGCCTCTAGAATGTGATCTAACGGTAATCAAGATGCCAAGTGTCAACAATCCAGCATATAACTTCCACTTAGAAAAGTGTTGTTTTCGAAAACACGTTTTAGCACATTAAAATTGTTGGAAGCACACTTCCTTTAAAGTAAGTCCAGGGTTCGAATCACAACAGGCACAAGTGGAAGAGGCAATGTCTAAGTGGAGTACAGACCCTGTACGATCTTTTGGTTAGCTTTGTTTAGTTAGCTACCACGTGGTTGCATGACAATAGTCCCCAAGTCCAAATATGAATATTTAAATAAGGTGTGGACTTTAAAAAATTATAATCATCTTGCAGAGCAATAACTAGCGATGTAACGAATAAGAATATGCATCTCATTAAACGAAGCTTCTCATAAAGTCGAGGATAGGGTTAATCATCTTATTGAACGACGCATCTCGCGAAGCGAGGAATAATGTTTTTGAAACCCTGATGAAATGATAGCATAGATGGGGAGGAGACAAAATAATGGGGTTATTATAGCTTGATCACACTGCATGATAAAGTGATGAGGCGATGAACCACATCCAGACAATTGTAAATGGTGAGGCGACCACGATGACACTAGGTGAGTGTGAATAGTCCCCAAAGTCCAAGTAAGAATATATATATATATATATATATATTCTTACTTGGACTTTGAATAATAGACGAGGCTAGGTCATTGAGGTGATAAGTCTGAGGTGAGTAAGTCCCAATTTTTCAAGGACGAGGCTCTTCTGTATAGGCGAAATCTCTTCGCAAGGATGAGGCTCTTCTACAAAGACAAAGTCCATTTCAAGGATCATGTATGCACTTCTACAGAGGCGAAGTCTCATTTCAGGGATAAGGCTCTTCTACATAGGTATAGTCCCATTTCAGAGATGAGGCTTTTATGTAGAGGCAGAGTCTTGGTTTAGAGATTAGGCTCTCTTATAGAGACGATAAACTTGATTGAAGTTTGAAATGAGAGTTTGAGGTGGAGAGCCTTTCCCGCGAAGTGACGATATGTAGCACATCTCTTGAAATGACACAGATTGATGGGATTCATGCCATTAACGTCCTGTGTTTTCAATCTACACGACAGCTAGGGGTCGCGTCTTCACATTGTGTACGGTTATTATATGGTAAATAACGGCAATGATGGCATAGGACACTTGTTCTTTTGAGATGGTCGAAATGATTAGGTCATGTGAGTATTTTTGGCATAACCGAATGAAGTAGTTGACACATAGGTTCAGTGGGGGGCTTCGGACGTGGCCTCAATAATAGACTAGGCGAGCTAGACTACGTAAAGGAATTCTTTAGGACTGATTGAATGGAGATGCTAGCGTCTGAAGCACACAAGATGGCCTACTATTAACGACGAGGGATTGGCAACGAGTGATGCAATCCTCTGAGCTTAGCGGTGGCAAAAAAGCTCGAAGGCTCGGACGGCCCGGGCT